AAAGAATTAATTTTTTTAAAAAGAAAACATAGTGTTGATAATAGACAAAATATTAAAAATGAGGAGAAAGGAAAATTGAGAATAAGTCTAGTGGTATTAGACTAGAATCTGAAATCTCCATATTGAACTCATTTTTAAATATTTGTACAGATAGGAAGATACAGAGACAAATATGTAAGAGAGATGGGGGAATTAATGCAAGTGAGTATGTATTTCCTAGCTCTGACTGCTGAGAATGCCTGGAACCCATGAAACCATTCTAGTGCCAAAAAGCACATGCCATACCTAGACCTGAATCTCTAAATGTAATCCTTTTCAGTTTAATTCAACTGGGGAAAAAAAAAAAAAAACTGGCTGGGAGTGGTGACACTCAACTTTAATCCCAGCACTTGGGATGCAGAGGCAAGTAGATCTCTGAGTTTGAGGCCAGAGCTACACAGAGAAACCCGGCCTCAAAAAACAAAATCAAACAAACAAAAGAATAAAGAGAGCCAAGGTTCCTTGGAAATGCAATTGATTCCAAGGCTTAGGAAGAAAAAACACAAGGTAAGTGTGATGGATTCAAAGCTGGAATGGCCGACTGGAAAGCAGAGGAAACTCAGCCTAGCAGAGGAAGCATCTCCCTTTGAGGCATGCTACTCTGGCCCTGGATCACTTCTGTTACTTCACTTCCCGACTGCCTGGAAGGGAGCAGCTTCACTTTTCTCCACCATGCCCTTCCTCCAGGACGTCTCTGCCTTGTCACAGCCTAAAAGCAATGTCTAAAATCTCAGAAACTGTGAGGCAATATAAATTTTCCTCCTTTAAACTGTTTCTCTCTCCAAGTATGTCACAGCAACAGTCAAACAAAATTAGCATCCTGCGGTACCAGAAACGTTTCTTACAATACTAAAAAGAGAGCAGGAGCAGCACATGCCTTTGATCCCAGCACTCCAGTGAGTTCCAGGACACCCAGGGTTACATGGAGAAACCTTGTCTCAAAAAAAAAAAAAAAAAACAACAACAAACAAACAAACAAAGACAGAAAGAAAAAAGCAAGCACTCAGTAGGTAGATAGATAGATAGATAGATAAATGAATGAATGAATAAATAAATAGTGCTATGTCAAAAGGGCTCAGGAGGGTTTAGGAATAGATTAGTCAGTAAAACTACTTGCTGTGAAAGCACAAGAACCTGAATTCAATCCCAAGAATTCACATTAAACATACATGTGTGTACAAATACATATACGTTATGTACATATATGTGTGTATATATGTTCATGGTGGCTCACACTTGTAATCCTAATAGTGGAGAGGTGGAAACCCACAGATCCTGGGGTCCACTGGGCAGCCAACCTTGCCTACTTCTCAAGTTTCAGGACAAGAGAACCTATAAAAAACAGGGAGTGGAACAAATGCCCAGGGAATGACACTGGAGACTGTTCTCCACGTGAATGCATACACACGTGCCCTCTGCACGTGCATCCACATACAGATGAATACACACACACACACACACACACACACACACACACACACAGGAGCCCTATTGCCAAAACTGGAAAACTTTGATGAACAAAATCATCAACGTTATAATAAAAATAATGAAATGAGTATCTGACAATAACTTGATATAAATAAGTGGAAGAACTTGGGAGGCAGAGGCAGGCAGATCTCTGTGAGTTCGAGGCCAGCCTGGGCTACAGAGTAAGTTCCAGCCAGGAAAGGCGCAAAGCTACACAGAGAAACCCTGTCTCGGGGGTGGGGGGAGTGGAAGAAGGACAGCTTTCCTTACAGAAGAATTTCCATTAAGAAATGAAGAAGAGGGATAGAGAAATGGCTCAGTGGTTAAGAGCACCACTGCTCTTCCAGAGGACCTGAGTTCAATTCCCAGCAACCACATGATGGCTCTCACAACCATCTATAAAAGGATATGATGCCCTCTTCTGGCATGCAGAACACTCATATATAAATAAATTCTAAAAAAAAAAAAAAAAAAAAAAGAAGAAGAAATAAGGAAGATATATACCATACTTGATCTTGGCCAAAAGGCAATGAATAAAGGAAATAGAAAATCACCAAAAGAACTGAACCAAGATTCACTAGTAGATGCCAAAACACCAAACAATGATATAACACTACATTGCATGAAGTTGCAGTCTGCTCCAAGACAACACCTATTATTAATCATAAGGAGAAAATGGGTAACCATACAAGGGTGTAAGCAAGAGGTAGTGCCTTAACCAATCAGGCTGAGATCATCAACAGTAAGACTCTCTCTCTCTCTCTCTCTCTCTCTCTCTCTCTCTCACACACACACACACACACACACACACACACACACACACACATATATTCAGGTTGAGGAATATTCTACACAAATTATTATCAAATACTGAAAGACCTTAACCCTTCAGGCTTACACCCCCCAAGCCCCAGGAGAATAAGGAACTAAAAAGAAAACTAGTTCCAAGGGCAACCTGACTCAGCCACTATTCAACCACCCCTGCCACAATGTAACAATGTAAAGAGATCTCTGTTAAGAGATGTGCTCAACTGTGACTGGGATAGCTGCAAGTGTTCCAGGAAGGACCACTGTGACCTTTGTATAAACTCCACTCCTGCCCTGATACCCCCCTTGAGGTTTCTGGAAGAATGTACATACGGACGTGACTGTACCCACTCTGTGATCAGACCATGATCTTGTGAAACGAAATTGTATGGGAATTGTAATCTATGGCTTTTGTGGGTTTTTCCTTTAAAAGTACCCATGTGATTGCAATTGGTGCGACTCTTGCTCTTTGGAGCTGAGTTAGCCCAACTGTACAGCCGCTTCTTCAATAAACACCTCATACTGTTGCATCAACTGGACCGGAGTCTGGGTTCTTGGGGCGCCCACTTGAGACCCTAAACTTTGGGGTCTAACAGTACTTTTCCAAAGTGTCATAGCTATAAAAGCAACAAGACTAAAGAAATGTGATAGACAAGGAAATTAGGAAGGCATAACAATAAACACAATGGAGAATCTTGGAATGGATCTATAAGTTAAAAGTCTTAGGTCAAGGCCAATTTCTTATTTTTGACAATCATACTACCATTATTTAAGATATTAACATCAGAAGAAACTGAATGAATAGTACCCAGTTCTGTCCAATTTCTATAAATTTTCTTAGAAGTTACTTAGAAATAAAAAAATGTCATACATTTACAGAACAGAGTATGGGAAAGGAGTGTGGCTTAATGGAAGAGTACCTCCTCGACACTTTCAAAGAGTTCGGGGTTGGGGATTTAGCTCAGTAGTAGAGCGCTTGCCTAGAAAGCACAAGGCCCTAGGTTTTTTGGTCCTCAGCCCTGAAATAAAAGAAAAAAGAAAAGAAAAGCTCTGGGTTCAACCCTCAACACAGTAAAACTGGTGAAGGGCAAAGGAAGTCAGGGAAGACAGTATGACAGCAATGTGTTCATTCACTATTATGGATATGTGACCCAGGCTAGCCTCAAACTTCTGAGCTCAAGAGACCTTCCCGGGCCAGGTGAGGTGTCAGACACCTTTAATCCTAGCACATGGGAGGCAGAGACAGTCTCCGTGAAGTTGGGGCCAGCCTATCTACATAGAGAATTCCAAGCCAGCCAGGGCTACACAGAGAGACTCTCTCCAAAGAAAGAAAAAGAGCAAGAGGGCAGATTATTACAAAGAAATACTGGAACTCTCCCCTTAATCTCTCTCAAGTTCCTGTCTCCAGCCTGCTTCCTCCCACTTCCTGTCACGAGATGAAGCTGTACAAGGCTCTCAACAGAAGCTGAACAAATGCCAACAGCTCTCCAATGCCATGAATAAAAACACGATTTTCTTTTACTCACTGAACCATCTCACTGGCCCAACACTTCTTTACGAATTACCAGTCTCGAGTACCCTGATACAACAACAGAAAGTGAACTGAATGAACCGAGAGTCACTAGATAAGGCAGTATCTGATCTGGCAATACAAAAACTTAAAAAAAATTATCTCGATCATTCACCCAATTTAATTTAAATCCAACATTTTGGATGGAGAAAGCACCCCATGCAGATGTGAAGAAAGCCAATGAAAACAAATACTGAAAGCAATGTTCCCTACATGGTCATCTAAGGCACTCTTGAATTCCTCTCATCATCATCCTTTGCCAAATCCTACAAATGCGTAACATAAAAATGTTCCCAATTAAAGGTAAGCATGTAGCTGGGCATGGCTGAACATGCCTTTATTTCCAGCACTTGGGAGGCAGCAGATCTCTGTGAGTTTGAGGCAACCCAGTCTACATGGTAAGCACTAGGACAGCCAGAGCTACATAGTAAAACCCTGTCTTTAAAAAAAAAAAAAAAAAAAAGATACAAAATGTTTCCAGTTACATGTAAATAAAAAAGCACAGATGAAAAACAAAAGTTATTTAATAAAAAAAATTATATAAATCAAGTTACTACATTTAAATCACAAAATGTGGGATGGGGATCATCTTTTTTAAGATGATTTAAAAAACTCATTATATAAGTAAAAATTAAAATTGTTTGGTAATTTGGGCTTATAGAATAAATGAACTAAAAAAATTCTTTTTTTGTTGTTTTTTTTTTGTTGTTGTTTTGTTTTGTTTTTGTTTTTCGAGATAGGGTTTCTCTGTGTCACCCTGGCTGTCCTGGATCTCTCACTCTGTAGACCAGGCTGGCCTCTAACTCAGTGAGATCTACCTGCCTCTGCTTCCTGGGTGCTGGGATTAAAGGCATGCACCACCACTGACCAGCTCCTTTTAGTATAATTAAAAATATACTGTAAAACTTTAATCAGCATTTTAGGAAAACTCCCAGCACTCAAGAGGCAGAGGCAGGTGGATCACTGGGTGTTTGAGGCTAGCCTGGTCTACAGAGCTAGTTCCAAGACATCCCGGACTGTTACACATAGAAACCCTATCTTGAACAAAAAAAAACAACAAAAAAAAACCATTGTATATATATGTAATTTCAAAGATGACAAACACATTAACACATACCTCCTGTAAATCAGCTGGTGATGATTTTTTTCTTTTTCCCTCTGTGACAATTTCTACAAAAACCAAAGACATAATAAAAATCATTATTTAACATCTAAATGACATAATTTAATGAACAGAATCTTTTCATATCTATCCCTTATTTAAAATTAAAATACACTGGTGTTTTACAGACACTAAAGGGCTGTGCCTAAAGACCTAAGAGTTTGTCATGTGTCGATGTTACAGACTGTCCCCAATGTCTCCAGTAAGCCAATGCTTGAGGACAATTTAAAAAGAAAGAACCAGTCCAGCAGTGGTGGGGTCTGTCTTTAATCTCAGCACTCTGGAAGCAGAGGCTGTGGATCTCTATAAATTGGGAGGCCAGCCTGGTCTACAAAGAAGTTCCAGGATAGCCAGAGGAGCATCATAGAGAAATCCTGTCTTGAAAAAAAAACCAAAAAAAAGAAAGGACTAAACAGAAATTTCTTTATAAGAGCCTCATACCCATGGTAGAATCAGATGACTGGGAAAATCCTCATGATGGAGGGCAGAGGTGAGATGATCTAGAAGCTGGCATTGTCCTACAAAAGCACTTCCTTCCAGTTGTATCTCACACACACATGCTGCACAAATGGAAGTGCCTTCCCTCTTTACTCAGCAACCTTTTCCAGACTTCAGGTGGGTTTTCCTTGTATGAATTCTCTCATTCAATCACAAATATTTACTTAATGGCTACCATGTGCTCCTCATACTGAGAAGTACGGTGGTATTTTATTTGTACTGAAATGTGATTTTAATTGTATGTTAATAAATAAAGTTCCCCGGGGGTCAGAGCTATTAGAGCCATAGCAAGAGCGTGGCGGTGGTGGCGCACGCCTTTAATCCCAGCGCTTGGTAGACAGAGCTAGGTAGATCTCTGTGTGTTCAGGGATACAGCCAGCATTGGAGACATACGCCTTTAAGACCTGGAGGGCTGTACTTACAGGCAGTGACGAGGCAGTCATGTGTTTGGGTTTATAACCAATGAGAAGGCAGAACAGAAAGACTATGTAAAGACAGACACACAGGAAGTAGCTCTCTTTCGGGGGGATAGGAGCACTGCAGGAGGTAAGATTTTAGCTCTGAGCTCTGACCTCTCGGCTTTCTCTTTTACATTGGTTCTGTGTTTCTTATTTAATAAGATGGTTGGTTACATCTACAGATAAGCAATGAATATAAATAACACTGAGCAAATCAGACACCATCCAAGATTTCTTAGCAATTATAACCACAGTATGGAGGAACACACCTGCAATCCTAGCACTCAGTAGAAAGAGACAGATGGATCTCTGTGAGTTCAAGGTTAGCCTGGTGATCTACATAGCAAGTTCCAAGGTAGCCAAGGCTAATGGTGAGATCCTGTTCAAAAATACTGTAACCTACTGAATTACATAGCAGATTTCATAATAAAAATAAATGGTAGTATACACATGCACATGTAACACCAAGTCATCTACTTGTGGTTTATTACTATAGTTCAGTAAGAAATGGATGATTTTTGCCAATAAATAATAGTGAAGCAATTTTTTGTGTTTGTATGTTTGAGTACATGTATGTGGACATGTGGGGTGTTTGCATGCATGTGTGCAGGTTGCATACATCCTTGCATACGTGGGGAAAACAGGAGGACATCAGGTGCCCTGTTTATCGCTCTCTGCCTTATTTCTTTCAAGCTAGGTCTCTCACCAGACCTGGAATGGGGCCAGTACCCAGTGAGCCTGATCTTCCGGTCTCTATCCACAATAGCGCTAGGATTTCAGGCTACACTAGGCTTTCTATGATGATATTGGAGATTTGAACTAAAATCCTTATGTTTACTTAGTAAGCATCACCCCAGACCCAGGGAAGCAATGTGATGACCAAATAGAACTTAAAAAATAAACCTTGATCCCTATACCTCATGCCACATACAAAAACTAATTTCAAATGGACCATATCTTTAAATGTCAAAGATAAAGCAAGGTTTATACAATAAAAACTAGAATATCTTCATAGCCTTGGAGGAGTCAAAGATTTCTCAAGTAGGATACAAGTATTACCATAAATTAAAAGATCAATAAAGTGGACTTTATCTAAATTAAAAATTCAGTTTAGCTGAACTCATCATTATGCCAGTAGAGAGCAAAGTCTCATACTAGAACATAAATTCTAATCCATTATCTGTCAAAGAACTCATAACCAGTGGACATACGGAACTCCCTGGGCTGAGGTATGTACTTGTGGTAGAACACATGCTTAGCAAGCCAGGGGAAGGCAGGAGAGAAGAAAGGGAGAAAAAGGAATAAATACAATAAAATTCAATCTTTAAATTGGACAAAGGCCTTGAGTAAGCATACACGCATACAGACACACACACACACACACACACACACACACACACACACACAAAATCAAGACACAACCATTAAGGAAATGACAGCTAAATAACAATGAAATTCATAGCCCTTGCAATAAGTAAAATTTAAAAGACTAACATTACCAAATATTGGTGAGAGGATAATACTCTGCTGGTAAAAGTTAAATGAGTGTATCGACTTTCCCAGTGTCTGTTAGATATTTACCTGTCTGCACTCAGTACCTAACAATTATACTTCTAGATAAATAACCAAAAGAAATGAGAATGTTCACACTTTCTTTATCCTTAATAACCAAAAACTAGAAATAACCCAAATTATCTGCCACTAGTAATGTATAAACATATTTGTACCAAGGAAAGCTGCAAAGTAATAAAAGACAATGAATTACTTCTAAGCACCATATGGATACATCTCACAGACATTCTGTTCCACGGAAATCAGATGCACAGCTGTGAAACTTGAAAGTTAAAATAAATCTATGATAATACAATTTGAACAACAGAGGGTATAGAGGACAAAAGGAATATTAACTGGGAAGGGTGCAAGTTAAGTCTGATAAGATGTTAGAAGTGTTCTGTACGTTGAGCTACACGGTGCCTATATAAGCAAAGGCATGCAAATACAAAGAATCTTGTAACTAAAGCTTTATCCCTACAGACCAGCTTTCATAGTGCTGGAAGGGGCTGTGCTCACTACCGGAAAAGGAAAGGAATCAATAACCATACCCACCAATCAGCTCTGTGAGCTAAGTAATGACTAGCCTGACAAGACATGCCCACTGGTATAACAGTGACAGGAATGCCATGGGAACAACTTTCTGATTGGATTTAAGGGCCTCTCCACAAGATGGAACCCGTACGTGGACACCGTTATCTGTGCCTAGAACCTGAGGTCAGACAGTTCACAGGACCCAGGGGAGAACCTACTATAATTATTTTGCTAAAGGGACATAGTAGTAAACCACTCCTGACTTATCATTACACTCATGGAAAGGACATCTCTCAGTCCTCATTATAGAAGCTTCTATTTGCAGTAGATGGTGATTAACACAGAGCCCCACAACTGGTCAAGGTAAAAAAACAAGAAAAAACAACCCATGCAAGTGCAAGCCAGACACAAATCCCAGCATGGAAGAGAGAGGCAATCAGGAAGTCACATTCCTAGCTGAGGAACTAGTGACAACTGATAGTTGATGGGAGAGGGAGAGTCAGTTTTCTTTAAAGGTGTGACCAGTGGTAGGGGGAGGGCCCCACACCCAAGACTATTTGGGCAATACCAAAGGTACTCCATGGACAAAGGAAGAAGAACAGCAGAAAAAAAAATTATGTGGGTAGAGATGAGCCCAAGAGGAGGTGGGAGGCTGGAGGACAACTTTGTGAAGCCTATCTTTAAGTGGACTCAAGATTGACCAAGGTCTCCTGGCTTGCATGACGTGGTGGTACACACCTTTAATACCAGCACTCGGGAGGCAGATCTCTGTGAGTTCAAGGCCAGCCTCATCTACACAGCTAGGACAGCCAGAACTACGTAGTGAGACCTGTCTCAAAATAACAACAAAAGCTCCAAAATACAAAGAGGAGGAATCAACTCTGGTTTTGTTCGTTTTATTCTGGGTGTAAGAGTGTTTTGCCTACATATATGTCTAAATACCATGTGTATGCCCGGTGCCTAAGAAGGCCAAAAGAGGGCTTCAGATCCCCTGGAACTGGAGTTACAGACAGTTGTGAGCTGCCATGTAGATGCTGGAAATCAAATCCAGGTCCCCTGGATGAGCAGCCAGTCCTGTTGACTGAGACATCTCTCCAGCCTTTCTTTCTTTCTTTTTTTGGTAGGGGGGTGGTTGTTGTTTTGATTTGGGGGTTTTTCTTTTTTTTTTTCCACAATGCAGTGGGGGGGGGGTAATTACTATTTAAAACAATCCATACTTTCAAAATGACTAGAGCAGTATCAAATTCCCAACATGTAAAAATGGCTAATCTTTGAAAAGATAAAAGTTACTTAGATTTGATAACTATATCATACACATGTATCAAATCAGCATCATGCCCCCTGTATAGATACACTAATGTCACAATATAAAATAAAACTTCCATACACTCAGCATCTTCCCTCACCCAGATCTGTGACTGTTACTTACAGCTCAAGTCTAGCAGGTCCTAGAACTCTCATTCTTGATTCATAGCTTTCCTCTACCATCATTGTGACCCACTAAATCCTCCTGAATCAACACACTCAAAAAACGATAAATTAATCTCTTGCCTCCTCTGAACTACACACCTCTATTTCAACTTTCATGGTCAGAATTAAGGTAAAAAGTTTCACCCAACCTTTTGATTTTGGTTTTTTGAGACGGGGTCTATCATTTTGCCCTGGCTGCCTGGAACTATGTGGACCATGGTGGCCTAGAACTCAGAGATCCGCCTGCCTCTGCCTCCCAAGTGCTGGGATTAAAGGCGTGCGCCAACACAACCAGCTTCACCCATTTTCTTGAACTGTTGAACCAATGTGAATTGTTCAGTTTGTTGAACCTCTCATTCAGCGCGCTGTCCTTTGCCCCCCCCCAGCTTTCCCACTCCCTTTGAAGCCACATCCTGTCATATCACTTTACCCAAAGTAAAACTAAACTTATTTTTCTCCAAGTACTTACCCCAACCACTGCACACTCATTTTTTTTTCTTTTCTTTTCTTTTTTTTTCCTTTTCAAGACAGTGCTTCCCTGTGTAGCCCTGGTTGTCCTAGAACTCACTCTGTAGACCAGGCTAGTCGGAAACTCGAGAGATCTGCCTGCCTCTGCCTCCCAAGCACTGGGATTAAAGGCATGCGCCACCACACCCAGCTGCAAACTCATTTTAAAACTCTGAAATTACTTACTTCCTTTATTAATCCCTATATGACCTATTTTTGAGCTCAGATTATTATAAAAAAAAACCTTTTTCATCATACCTATGTCACAGCAAACCATGACTACAGTATCATTAGCTTCTCAAATTCTATCTATATTCATCTTCAATCCATTTTCCCCATGTCATCAGTTCTACTCCATTCCCTGACTCTAGCATCTACCTTATCCTATTAACTGGCTTACCTGATTTACATTACACACACACACACACACACACACACACACACACACACACACACTCTCACACACACAGCCTACCTGATATGTCTTTAGCCATTTTCGTCTCTACTGACTCCTTCCCTACTCCCTTCCCGATCAGTCTTTATATTCGTTTCCTTTTAATCCTTTGTTTCTCTACTCCAGCTTGTCCCTTGTCTAAAACAAGTACATGCTTAGCAAGGCCTGTAAGGGTCTGAGGTCAGGACTTGGGGGAGCTACTGCTCTCCAGACCCTGAGAACTCAGCTCTTCCCTCCTGGAAGGGCTGCAGTTATCAGTCCCAGAGCCACTGAGCACTTGTCTGGGATGCACTTGAGATTTCCTGTGTTCTCTTTGTGGAAAAATTGCTTGATTGGCTTCTTGCTGACTTCATCCTGTTGTATGATAATTTCCTGCTGACTCTGTCCCATTTTTTCCCTACAAACTGTACATAAGATGCTATACTTCTTAATAACCTTGCTTGGCATAAGACATAGGCAAGACCTTCTGATCCTAGCTTTCCGATCTTTATCTTCTCATCCCCTGGTTTATGCCCATTGAGAGACTGTCACTAAAGAACAACTTGCTGGTCCAGGTCACACTACACTTCCAACACTGTGAAGCAGACATCACCTGGACCAACTGGTGCACATGGTACACTAACTAACCCCTAGAAATGGATGTGAAGAAGAAATCAGGAAGCACTCAGCTACTTTTTCACATATTTATTTGGGGGAGGGAGGTCATACATAGTCCAGTGCTCAGGTGGAGGTCAGAGAGCAGTGATCAGCAGTTGTCTCCCTCCCGCCACCATATGAATCCACATGTCAGCCTTGGCAACAGGCATCGTTGCCCACTGAGCCATCCCACCAGTCCTCAGCCACTTTGTTATTTTTTATATTTGTAAACGAAACAGAATTACATCAGTTTCTCCCCCTCGTATCCCCACTTCAGCCCTTCTCTGCTACCCTCACCTGAAAGCCACTTTTTCTTTTCTGAAAGCCACTTTCTTAATGAGCCACAGTGTACAAGAGCACACAAAGAGTTTCGAAATCCCGAAGGCTTTTGTCTTGTTTTAAATCCAAATTATCTGGTTTTTAGCCATGGAAAAATTTTCCAAAGTAGGGCTAATTAATGTGTAATGGCGGTGAAAGGAGATGAAGCTGTAGATGCTGCACTGAGAGCCCAGATTTTTAATCCTGACCCTGTTTCTAACACCAGTTCTCACTAACAGACGCTTAGGGTTCCTAAATCCCAGTTCCACCTATAAATCAGAAATAATAAGTCACTTGTAAGGGCTTTTGAAAGGATTCAAGTCTGTGAAGTTCTTAGTATAGTCAGGCCACGGGTGCAGACAGCGACGGCGCAGTCCACCAGCCTCATCTTCAGACACTTGCCAACTAGATCTCCGACCCAGCTGAAGCTCGTGAGCAAGTGAGTATGAAGACCGTATTGATCACTAGTTCCCCTGAGCACAGGAGCCTCAGGGGATGTCACAGAGATTCGAATAGAGTACTATTACTCTGCTACAAAGTGTTTCCAGGGGCTGGAGAGATGGCTCAGCGGTTAAGAGCACTGACTGCTCTTCCAGAGGTTCTGAGTTCAATTCCCAGCAACTACACGGTGGCTCACACCATCTGTAATGGTATCTGATGCCTTCTTCTGACCTGCAGGCATACAGGCAGATAGAGCACTCACACACAAAATAAATAAATAGATATAAATCAAAACAAGAATATTTTAAGACTGAGAATGGTGGCATGTCTTTAATCCAAGTACTCAGGAGCCAGAGGCGGACAGATCTCTGAATTTGAGGCCAGCCTGCTCTACACAGCAAGTTCCAGGACAGCATATTTCTGTTAATATACATGTGAAAAATCAAAAATCTTATTAAGCAACATTTTTTAATGTTCACATTATATAACTAGAGGCATCCTGGGAAAACAAAGGCTAGAAAACATTAAATCTCTAAATTGGTCTGATTACACACTACAGAATGAACATTTCCAAAGGGAAGCCATGAGAAAAAATTTTCCAGTGACATAAATAGCAACGTCTTTTATGAATCTGAGGTCTTAATCTCAAAATTCACTCAAAAAGAGCTTTCTCAGAGGTATAGCTAACATAAATACCAGCGAGTTTTCCAATTAGCAACTTTGTACCCTCAAAATTCTCTTTCCAAAAGCATATACATCAAATAAACTATATAATAAATCAATATAACCAGGTGAAGGGGGTAGATTTTACTTATGGAAAAAAGGGGGCTAATAACTCGATATAACACACTAACACATGCAAATGTAATAAGCCAACATGAAACATATTTATTGAGAAGAAAATGCATTGAACTGAGGTTATGACTAAAGTTCTGCATTAAAAAAAAAACTCCCAAATGATACTAGGCATTGCATTTTTATTTTTCTTTCTTTTGTTTTTGTTTTTGAAGCAGGGTTTTTCTGTATAGTCTTGGTTGGCATGGAAATCTCTCTGTAGACCAGGCTGGCCTCAAGCTCATAGAGACCCGCCTGCCTCTCCCCTCAGTGCTGGGATTAAAGGCCAGCGGCACCACTGACCAAATGATACTAGACACTGCATTTTTCTAGGATGTCAATTTTACTTGAACACAGAAATCAGGAATCTCTCTCTCTTTTTTTTTTTTTTTCTTCAAGACAGGGTTTCTCTGTGTAGCTTTGTACCTTTCCTGGAACTCACTTTGGAAACCAGGCTGGCCTCGAACTCACAGAGATCTGCCTGCCTCTGCCTCCGGAGTGCAGGGATTAAAGGCATGCGCCACCACTGCCAGGATCAGGAATTGTAAAAACTGATTCGTGGAGACATGCATACAAAAACACCTTTTATGTCTCGCATAATTATACTTTCAAAGGCCAAGAACAGCTAGTATCTTTCCAATACACAGAGGAAAAAGCTAAGCATAGTGGCAGACACCTACAACCCGAGCCCTGGGGAAGACTGTGACAGGAGACTGAGCTCCAAAGCTGCATGGTGACAACCACCCCTCCAAAACACAGACAAAAATACTGATAAGATCGACTGCATATGAAGAGATCTCTCGATTTCGATTCTGTTAAGCCAAGTCCTCAGAGATCTGTGCTCACCTCCTTCCATCCTCCAGTAAAAGTTTTACACACACACTGCCACTGGGCATACATAAATAGATTTGGAACTGTTAACACTAGCTCTACAAAACTGAACACTAAAATAATAAATTTTTAAATGGGCTGGGCTGAACCAGCCAGTGGTGGCTCACACCTTTAATCCTAGCACTCTGGGAGGGATAGATAGGCAGGCAGATCCCAGAGGATCTGGGAGTCCTAGGCCAGCCTCCTCTACAGAGCAAGTTCCAGGACAGCCAGACCTACACAGAGAGACACTGTCTGGAAAACTAAAGAAAAAATAAAAATTGGGGGCTCCTGAGCTAGCCTGTAACCCCAACATTCGGGGGTGAGGAGTGGGTGGGGGACTCCGAATTTGATGCCATCTTGAGTTACACAGGGAGACCCTTTCTCAACAAAAAAGGGGGGAAAATCAATGAATCCATCGATGTTATTTTACATACTAGACTGCATTTGGACTTGACTCAAGGACTTAAGAGGTGCACTTAACAGATGACGTGCATAACAATAACTTGACTGGGCGGAGCTCTACATCAGTTTTATACAAAACTTAAGAGGATCTTGAGTTTCAAGCTTTGAAATAATTACAAAAAAAAAAAAAAAAAAAGTGCTGAGACTAAACACAACAAAAGCCCGGCTTCGAATCCTTTGACTTTCGAATCACTTTTGGAAGATGCAGGAGGCTGGAAAACAAAAATGCTATTAAAGGAGCCTGTTCGGACGAAAAGGGGACACCAGGCACATTGACTTGGAGGACCCGCGGGGCGATCGGCAAGCCCCGCCTTCGTTCCGTGCAGCCTCTCCAACCTGCCAGGGGAATGGGGGGGGGG